GCCCAACGGACAAGGGCGGACACCAGCAGTGACAGACCTGGGAGATGAATAGAAATGCTGCATGGCCAGCGGAAAAGGGCGGACACTGGCAGTGACAGACCTGGGAGACAAATGAGAAATGCTACATAGCCAACGGAAAAGGGCGGACACCAGCAGTGACAGACCTGGGAGAAAAATGAATACAAACAGCGGAAATGGGCGGACACCACCAGTGACAAGCCTGGGGGGCAAATGAGTAGAAATGCTGCATGGCCAGCGGAAAAGGGGGGACACCAGCAGTGACAGACATGGGAGACAAATGAATAGAAACAGAGGAAAAGGGCGGACGCCACCAGTGACAGACCTGGGAGACAGACGAATAGAAGTGACAGACCTGGGAGACAAATGAATAGAAATGCTGCATGGCCAACGGAAAAGGGCGGACAACGCCAGTGACAGACCTGGAAGACAAATGAATAGAGAAATGCTACATGGCCAGCGTCCAAGGGCGGACACCACCAGTGACAGACCTGGGAGAAGAACAGAAATGCTACATGACCAACGGAAAAGGGCGGACACCAGCAGTGCAGGCTGGGAGACAAACGAATAGAAATGCTACATGGCCAACAGAAAGGGGCGGACACCAGCAGTGACAGACCTGGGAGACAAATGAATAGAAATGCTACATGGCCAGCGGAAAAGGGCGGACACAGATGTGGCAGACAAATGAATAGAAATGCTACATGGCCAGCAGAAAAGGGCGGACACCACCAGTGACAGGCCTGGGAGACAAATGAACAGACATGCGACATTAGCAGTGACAGACCTGGGAAAAAATGAATAGAAATGTTGCATCCCAGCAGAAAAGGGCGGACACCGCAAGTGACAGACCTGGGGGACAAATGAATAGAAATGTTGCATCGCCAGCAGTGACAGACCTGGGAGACAAATGCAAAGAAATGCTACACGACCAGCGGAAAAGGGCGGACACCACCAGTGACAGACCTGGGAGACACATGAATAGAAATGCTGCGTGGCCAGCGGATAAGGGCGGACGCCGGCAGTGACACACCTGGGAGACGGATGAATAGAAATGTTACATGGCCAGTGGAAATGGGCGGACACCAGCAGTGGCACAAAGGGCGGACACGTCTTAAGAAAGAATTGAGAAACCCCAACAGTAAACTGTTTGGGGAAAAAGTGGGAGAGAAATGCTTCTTTTCATTTGTCTTCCCGGCTGGCTTGTTTCCCACTTCCTGTCATTTGTCTCCCACTTCTTTTCATTTGTCTCCCAGGCTGGGTGCTTGTGGTCGGGTTCCCGGCTGGCTTGTCTCCCATTTCCTTTCATTTGTCTCCCACTTCTTTTCATTTGTCCGGGCTGGGTGCTTGTGGTCGGGTTTGCGGCTGGCTTGTCTCCCACGTGCTTTCATTTGTCTCCCACTTCTTTCATTTGTCTCCCACTTCTTTTCATTTGTCTCCCAGTTCTTTTCATTTTTTGTCTCCCAGGCTGGGTGCTTGTGGTCGGGTTCCTGGCTGGCTTGTCTCGCACTTCCTTTCATTTGTCTCCTACTTCTTTTCACTTGTCTCCTTTCCTTTCATTTGTCTCCCAGGCTCGGTGCTTGTGGTCGGGTTGCTTGTGGTTCTTTAAAGCATTGA